CTGTGGAGCTCTGTTATACACTCAGACACATTACTGGGAGTATTATTGCTGTGGAGCTCTGTTATACACTCAGACACATTACTGGGAGTATTATTGCTGTGGAGCTCTGTTATCCACTCGGACACATTACTGGGAGTATTATTACTGTGGAGCTCTGTTATCCACTCAGACACATTACTGGTAGTATTATTGCTGTGGAGCTCTGTTATACACTCAGACACATTACTGGGAGTATTATTGCTGTGGAGCTCTGTTATACACAGACACATTACTGGGAGTATTATTGCTATGGAGCTCTGTTATACACTCAGACACATTACTGGGAGTATTATTGCTGTGGAGCTCTGTTATACACTCAGACACATTACTGGGAGTATTATTGCTGTGGAGCCCTGTTATACACTCAGACACATTACTGGGAGTATTATTGCTGTGGAGCTCTGTTATACACTCAGACACATTACTGGGAGCATTATTACTGTGGAGTTCTGTTATTCACTCAGACACATGTGTGTAGGTAGTGGTTACTGTGCGGTGCGAACCAATGCAATCATAATTACATTTTCCCGATTTCCCCCCAATTAAAACCAAGAGACATAAGTGTGGTATAAAACAGGCCACAGCTTTATTTATAATAACAAGCATAAATAAATCAACCAATAATTTACTCGAGAACTTGTCCTTGCCAACCATAATAACTCTAGAGTACCCCCTTCCAGGGTACCTGCCCTCCCCCCTCGTCCAAGATAACAGGCCTTTTACCTTGGCCTTCCAATACCCCATGCCAACCCCTGGCCGCCTTTTACTGGCACGGGGGGCACGCCCAATTACCACAACTCTCCGAGGTTAGGGGAGGGACCAGACCCAGCATTCCTTCTTCCAGTGTACTTGTTTTCCAACTGGTTTGGCAAGGACCATACCCGCCACTAGCGCCTGCTGCATTTAAGCCTAAATCAGCTGGCGCGACTCCCCACCAACGCCATGGCCTGCTCTAACGCGTCCTGCAGCGCCAGATTAAATAAATCTAAACCCACATCCGTGAGATGAACCCCATCTGGGCGAAAATAGATCGCCGCTTCCTTTTCAAATATCCGGTGTCGCACTGTGACACCCCCAACCCCGAGTACAAATTTGGACACCCTCTTGTTGAGTTTAACCCTGCAGCGCTCAATCGCCCCCTGATCCCTCGCGCAGCGCCAATAGTTCCTAGATACTATACCTGACCAGACTAAACAAAGTTGTGGGAAAAGGACTAGCAAGCGCGCCAAATCCCTTCTAATGAGCTCACTAAGCCCCCAAGCAGGCAGTGCCCCAAGATCGTTTCCCCCCAGGTGTATCACCAATACATCCGGGGCCCCCAACAATGTGGCTAACTGTAACACCTCCGGCAAGAGCTGGCCCCAGCGCATGCCCCGAAAACCGAACCATCGGACCTCAGCCAGCTCCCGGGGAATTCCAAGTCGCGTCCCACCCGGGCGTACCCCTGCCCGCAGGTGGGCCGAGTAGATATACGAATGCCCAATCAGCCAGATCCGTCGGCCGGGCCCTGCGGAGAAAACACAAGGGGGGCACCCATCAGACGCGTGGGCCGGATATAGGAACGAAACCTCCCAGATTCCCATCTCCCAATCCTCTGAATCACTTGATCAGAGAAACCCAACCGAGAAGCTTCAGTAGCTGCCCCAATCCGGAAGGAATGACCCCCAAATTCACCACTCGGGATTCCCAGCATGTCGAGCGCAAAGCGAAATACCCGGAGGAATTGAAAACGAGACAGGTAAGTACCATCCTCCTGCATTAACAACGGACCCGCAAGACTCGGGCGTATGGAGCAGTAGGACTGAAACGCAGAGGCTGGGCAAACAGACGAATTAGGGATGGTGCGAAGGGTAACCCAGCGACCCTTTCCAACAACGTCCGTTTTAGACCGTCGTATCAAGAAACGCACCGCACCATCCAAGAGGAACACATCGTGAAATAACAAACCCCCCGGAGTCCCCCTGCTAGGGCTGATTAGTTCCCCAATCCGGAGGGCCCCAAAAAAGGCAAAAATAAAGGCTAACCGAAATAAACTGGCTTCATAAGCAGAATAACATATCTGCGGAAGCACTGAGGCAATTCCTAGCAGCAATGCCCCTGAAACCGGCCTACGAGAATCCTGCCCACGAGGGCCCCTACGCCAACCACGCATCGCAAGTTTAACCAAGAAATCCTTAGTGACATCCGGCACCCGAGTTAAGTTAAACCAGAAACTAAGACCGGAAAGCTTCCCAGAAACAGTAGCCGGTGACCACCTGCAAGGCTCCCAGAACCAAAGCAAATGTAACAAACCTTGAATTTGTTCCGCCGGGGAAGCGTAGCCTCCATGATCCTGCTCAAGAGCAACCCATTCCCCCCAAGCCTTACCATACCGGACCCAAGTCGCCTCAGACACCGAGGACCGTATCCATTCCCTTATCCGCTCAGGCCAAGGGACCATAGTTCTTCGGGACAGGGGAGGCCTTCCAAGTCTGCTCCCGGAGCGGCTTTCCGAAACACCTGCCATTGAAAGCGAGAAAGGGAGTCAGCCGTGGTATTCATGACCCCAGGAATATGCACAGCACGGCACGTTATGTTCAGAGACAAGCATCGCAAAACCAATTGACGCAATAGCCTAACCACCGGAGGGGAAGAGGCCGTCAGGTTATTGATGGCCTGAACCACACCCAGGTTATCACAGTGGAAGACGACGCGCCTGTCTTTGAGCTCCATCCCCCATAAGTGAACAGCCACCAAGATGGGGAAGAGCTCCAAGAACGCCAAGTTCTTGGTAAGGCCTGAATCGACCCACGATACAGGCCACGGCTCTGCGCACCAATGAGGCCCCAGGATTGCCCCAAAACCAGAGGAACCCGCAGCGTCTGTAAACAAGTGAAGCGCGGCATTCGAAACCTCAGGCTGTTGCCAATAAGACCTTCCATTGTAAGTTTCAAGGAAAACAGCCCAGACTACCAGATCATCCCTGAGCGCCTTGGTTAAGCGGATGAAATGTAAGGGCTTCGAGATTCCAGCCGTGGCGGCCGCCAGGCGCCTGTTGAATACTCTGCACATAGGCATGATCCGACAGGCAAAGTTCAGCTTGCCTAAGAGGGATTGAAGGCGCCGGAGAGTGATCTTTCGCAAGGAGCCCGCCTCCCGCACAGACCCCCGTAAGTCCACCAGTTTGTCCACTGGGAGCCGACATTCCCCGATAACTGAATCAATCTCAATTCCAAGGAAACACAGGCACGTGGAAGGGCCAACTGTCTTGTCGGGTGCCAGAGGCACACCAAACCCAGAGGCCACATCCGCCAACGACTGCAAAATATGTGCGCAGATTGAGGAGTGCGCGGGACCAACACACAAAAAATCGTCTAGGTAATGAAGGAGGGAGTTGTGACCAGACTCCATTCTCACCACCCATTCAAGAAAGGAACTAAAACATTCAAAGTAAAAGCAGGATATTGCACAGCCCATCGGGAGGCACATGTCCACATAGTAATGCCCCTCAAAATAGCAACCTAAGAGGTGATGACACCCCGGGTGAAATGGCAAAAGACGAAAAGCAGACTCGATGTCTGCTTTTGCCATGAGTGCCCCCGATCCAGCATCCCTGACCATACAAACCGCAGCATCAAATGAGGCGTAAGAAACACGGCATAATTCTGATGCAATGTCATCATTTACAGAACCCCCTTGGGGGTGCGATAAGTGATGAATGAGCCGAAATTTACCCTGCTCTCTCTTGGGTACGACGCCTAATGGCGACACCCGGAGATCAGGGAGAGGAGATTCCCGAAAAAGGCCTGCCATACGCCCCAAAGCCACTTCCTTAGCCAACTTGTCCCTGACCACCCCAGGGTGGTCATAGACCGAACGCAAATTCCGGCATACCTTTGACGCCGGACGATGTTGATGGGGAATCCAAAAACCAAACGAAAAAACCTTCCAGGAGTAAGGCAGCCGCCTTTTTATTTCTATAACGTTTTAACCACGGTTGCATCGCGCCGACGTCCACTGGCGTCCTCGCCCTTAGAGCCCATGGCGTCACCCTTGTCGCCAGTCCTGCCCCGCTTAAAGCATTTGGAGGCGGGGTGCGATCCGCCGCACCCAGAGCACTCGTGCTTGAAACGACAACCCGTGCCGAATTTACATTGCCCGTCGTTATACTGCCAGCAGCAGCCCGTTCGACGCTGATTGGCCGACGCAGCGGTCGCAGACCCTGCGCCGGCCCCCCCGAGAAAGGACGAGAGGCCCCCTTGATGCGATGCCGGGCGGGTCATGATGGCCAACCACAAGCCGATGTCCATCTGGTCCCAACTCAACGATGGGCGGATCGCTATGCGCTGGCGAAACTGCTCATCATAGCGCCACCAGCCTAATCCGCCATAGGTCCGGCACGCGTTCCATATCGTATCCTGGTAGCAAAAGAGGGATGAGCATTTATTGGGGGACTTCTCGCCTATCACACTCGCCAGGATAGAAAAAGCCCTGATCCAATTACCAAAAGTTTTTGGTATCTTCCTATACCTAAACTTCTCCTTCTCCTTTTCGGAGTCTTTTGCCGCCGGATCAACACGAGGCAGATCCTCCATAGGGAGTAAGGAAAATATTTCAACGAATTCCCCTTTTTCTATCTTGGTGCGCAATTCCGGAGTCAAATGGAGACCTAGAGGGCCTGACCAGCACATGTAAGCCGCCCCATGCGCAGCGGGGGCTACCCCTGCCCCCGAAGATGCCGCGGCGTCATCCGAGGATCCTTTGGATGGTTCAAGTTCCGCCACTGGAGGAACTGGCACCACAGGGCCACTGGGCCCTGCGGGGGCAGCAGAGGGCAATGCTACCACCCCTGAAAGGTCAGAACCACCAGCAGCCGCCCACCCTGACCGCAGCTGATCGTCAAGGGCTAAAGGGGGCTGCAGCCCAGGGCGATGCCCCTGCTCCAGAGACTGTAAAACTTGTCTCATGGTTTGTATTAAAGCGTCCCATTGAGGTAGGACCCCTGCACCAATACCCCTTAAGGCATCCCCCGATAAACCAGCGTACTCACCAGCGGCAATGGAATGTGACGGCAGCTGCGGCGACCCCATAACCTGGTCCACAGGTTGCGGCGGACCCACGGGAGCTGTAACCGCAGAAGGGACTGCACCAGCGCCAGCGTCAGAGAAACGCACCCGACCAGGGACACTCTGTGAAGAAAGTAAAGGTGAAAAGGAACCCAACCCTCCCACACCCACCATGAAAGTACCTGGAGAGGCGGATGGTAAAGTAACAGACGTAGGGCCAGGAAGGGTGGAATGGGACCCGTCAAGGAGGGTGCCCGGATCAGGCCCAGGATGATGGGGAGGGACAGGTAAACCATGATGGACCCCCACCCTGAGAGGGCCCGCAGATGGGGCAGACAGTGAGCCAAGGGCAGGACCAGGAGTACCAGGGAGGATCCCTGACACAAGGGGGGCAGGTGAGGGGGAGGGGTGGAGTGATGGGGCAGAGACAGTGGGAAGAGGGGAAGTGCCACCCCCAGAGGGACCCACTGTAGGTGGGGTGGCATTATAAGAAGTGCCAGGAGCAGGCCCAGGGGAGGCAGGGAAGGAGGGCAGAGCAGGAGGGGAGCTGCTGTGGGGGTGAAGTGACACAGATGTCTTCCCATGGCCCCCAGACCCTCCCCCCCCCGGAAACGACCCTGCTGACCTGCGGCCTACTCACCCGACCGGAGGAGTGGGTTAGCAACCCACGGGTCACGGGAGCCGCATGCCGGGAAGCTCTGGTTGCTGGAGCCCTCCCGAACGCCGGTCTCGCCGCCGCCCTCCTCAATGCCCGCGAGACCGGCGGGGGAGGTGTGTGAGAGGCAGCGTGGGCCGCATCAGACCGCCGCGCGGCCACCTGCCGGCCTCCCCGAGCCCCGCTCGGGGAGGAAGTGCCAGGAGTGGGAGAGGCCTCGCCGGCCGCGGCCACCTGGGAACTGGCGCGCGGCCCGGCCACAGGGCTCCTGCTCCTACCCCTCACCCGACCCTCCCGCGAGGGGCTATACCGGGTAGGGGGGCGTGCACGGCGGCGCTGAACGCTGGGGCTGGAGACAGAGGGAACAGCCGACCCAGCAGCACCCTGCAGCCGCGCCAGCTGGGACTGCAGGTGAAGTCCCCCATCTTGAAGGGCCTCAGCCCTGAGGGCAGACAAGATGGCTTCAATGTCCATGCCCTGGCCATGAGACAAGCAGTGGTAACAGGCAGCAAGGAGGGAAGATGTTACCAGCCGTTTATTCTAAGATGGCTGAGGTAAGGGACAAAATGACTGCCCTTTATATGACCCCACCCCACCCCTATCCTAAGTGACACCCCCCACATGTGACACCTACACTCACCACACCCACACATGCCTCCTATCCGGCTAGCTTTTCAGCCCGCCTCCTCTGGGCCTGACCAGTGGAGCCAAACTGCAGCCCATCATCATCCTCATCTGGTTGTAAGTAGGCAATCTAGTATATTATTAGTGACACTAATCTATAATTTACCTCACATTAAAGGGACACTATAGTTTAATGAAGTGGTTCTGGTGTCTATAGCTGGTCCCTGCAGGCTTTTTAATGTAAACACACACTGTGTGCAGCACTGGCGTTAGTTCATATGGCAGATCATATGGGTGGGGCATTGTGATGTGACATGTGGGGGCAGCAAATTTTTATTTTGTCTAGGGCGGCAAAAATCCTTGCACCTTCTCTGATCCTGGGCAGGTGCACCAGTCTACTTGACTGGTTTTGCCCCCCAGGCCTAAGGCTGCCAGCCCTCCCCTGGCCGCTGGGGAGGTCTTTTCGCGGCCGCTGGCGGACTTGTCCTGGCGGCCGCTGAGGGAGCTGCGCGAGCTGCGCTGGCTCTGCTCCCAAGCACGCAGCTGAATGAGACCGGCGCCGGAATATGACGTCATACTCCGGCGCCAGTCTCATTCAGCAGCGCGCGAGGGCGGGAGGGCACTAACACAGGAAGCATCTCTAGTGACCATCTGAGTGACTGTCACTAGCAGTGTCACTTTGAAGCAATGTAAACACTGCCTTTTGTCTGAAAAGTCAGTGTTTACGTTGAAAAGCCTGTAGGGACATGCTATAGACACCAGTACCACCACATTAAGCTGTGTGTGTGCGTCTGCTAGTGAGTGAGCTTGCTTGCATGCGTGTGCCTGCTAGTGAGTGAGCTTGTGTTTTTATGTCAATGAGCTGATGTATATCAGTAAGATTGTTTGTCTATGAGGCTGTGTATCAATGAGCTTGTGTGTGTCACTGAAATGTCAGTGAAATTGCCTGTGTCTGCATGTGCGTATGCTTACTGTATAATTAAACGTTTTACCCTGAAAGGACCAATATTTTATATTAGAAAAAGCAATATATATATATATATATATATATATATATATATATATATATATATATTTTACTCAATCATCTGTCCTGGCAAGACATAGCCTTACATATTACACGCGACAATATATGGCGCAGTGACTTATGGGGCTGGCACAATTTTTTTTTCCAGGGCTGCTTTGTATCCCCAGTCCGGCCCTGAGTATTGGTGTTTGAATGCAGGGGTGTGTTTGTGTGTAGTGATGGTATTTGAATGCAGGGGTGTGTTTGTGTGTAGTGTTGGTATTTGAATGCAGGGATGTGTTTGTGTGTAGTGTTGGTATTTGAATGCAGGGTTGTGTTTGTGTGTAGTGTTGGTATTTGAATGCAGGGGTGTGTTTGTGTGTAGTGATGGTATTTGAATGCAGGGGTGTGTTTGTGTGTAGTGTTGGTATTTGAATGCAGGGATGTGTTTGTGTGTAATGTTGGTATTTGAATGCAGGGTTGTGTTTGTGTGTAGTGTTGGTATTTGAATGCAGGGGTGTGTTTGTGTGTAGTGTTGGTATTTGAATGCAGGGGTGTGTTTGTGTGTAGTGTTGTGTTTAAATGCAGGGGTGTGTTTGTGTGTAGTGTTATGGTGTGTTAATATGTATGTGGCTGTGTGTGTGCATAGATCCAAGCAATCAAACACCAACACAACATACACACGCACTCCTGCAATTTAGCACAAACATTACATACAAACATGTGCATTCAAACTCCAAAATGATATACAAACACACCCCTTCACTCAAACACCAACATTACACACAAATGTACATCTGTATTTAAATGCAAACATTACACACAAGCACACACCACTGCATTCAAACACCAACAATACACCGAAGTACATCACTGCATCCAATGGCAGAATTAGATACAAATAAACCCCTACATGTACACATATACTCTATACAAAAACATGCTCACATTCAAATGCACAAACACTGCTCACAAATACGGCCCTGCAAGGATGGGCAAATGGTAGATCCCCAGCTGGCATAGCATTGTTGGGGTTGTAAGACAGATTGGGATCTACCTTTTGGACACTATTGCACTAGAGAGGGGCCCAAAAAACGTTCTTGAAACAGGGCCCTTTCTAGATTAGTTCTGCCGCTGGTCCAGAGATCTGCAGTGCTGCTACACCCTGTCTAATCATGGTACCTATCGTAGGGGGTAGGAGGGCTGTTCACTAATGCAGATTGACAGCAGTGGATTACCAGGACTGACTTCACTCTACCTGCAGCTTACTAGCATTATGATTCAGTGACAGAGATTACTGGACAGACACGATCCATTTACAGTGCAGTGCAAAGATGCCAAGCGCAGCATTCACCATTAGCCTGCCCTAGCATAATGTTTAAGCTACAAATGCCGCAGGGATAAAGGACATGCAGGGCAGAGCGCTGCAATACCGGGCGCATTATGGAAACTTGTACCAGAAACAGGAAAACAAACAAATAAATATAATAAAAATAATCGTTTTGCCCACTTCCTCCCTTTTAGCCGGTCTAGTTGTCCTATAGATGTGCGTCATTGTCTGCCATGTCAAGGTTAGACATTACTGTCTTAGTTGGAACAACACTTCACTCCAATAAAAGATATCACTACCTTAGAACTGCACAGTGTCCGCCTGTCAATTAATAGTCACAATAACAGCTCACAATGGAAAGATAGTCTCCGACTTGTGTCCTAAAACTGTCACGACGGGAACAGTTTGATGCTAATATCCTGGATTCGTGGACCGAGTGACTGCAAGTGTTTCATGTTAGACTGTAAGTTCTTTGGTACAGTGTATTCATAATGTAGAATTGCTAATATTTTTAAATGATTTAATGTAATACGTTAGACAACTCATTCTTTACTTGTATTTAGTTTTTCACTGTCAAACTGTATCTTCCTTGTAACTGTGACTCGATTTTTTCTTTTTTCACTTGTTCCAGAAATACGTTATGTTTTCTACTGAGCCCCCCTCCGTCAAACACAGCCCGTAAGGAAGAAAGTACTTGTCCATTCAACCCCATTTCTTCTCGTTAACATAAAACAAAGACGTTCACGGCTGGCGAAGTGGTCGTCTCCGAGGATCTTGCAGGAAATAAAATAAAACAACAAAGCAAATAACAGAACTTTCTTCACGTCTCCGACTGATGCCACAGTGACAGAGACAGGTCAGTCAGATTCCAAAACATAATCTCTTTATACTTTTAGTGTCACTTTAATGAGGGAGAGACCGTTTGCAAGTCCAGCAAGCCTTGAAATAAAAGCATCTTAAATAGCAGCTACCGAAACGCTGTGGCATCCTGTTGTTTGACTTTTAACATCGAGCTGGCAGCCTTCAGATTAGCTATGCTCCTGTTGACAAGTATCTGACATGAAATCTTCCAGTTTTAGACACATTAGCCATTTTCAGCAAACACTAAAAATGCACGCTTTTCCCCTCACTCTACTGACCAAATGGCCTAGACAACGCTCTTAAAAGCAAGCTTGAAATGAACTTCTACCACACTCCCTCTGCATATACATATTGATGAAGAAGCCCCTTCCCAAACAGGCCATTAAATAGCGTTGTGGTGTCAAGATGACTTACTGTCAGAATCATCCCCTTATATCATTTGTACATCTGGTTACTGTGAAAATAGAGTCCAGTGATGGCGATGAAGAGACGGGAGAGATCGTCCCATCGAATCTCCCAGAAACACCACCAGTCGTTTGTCAATGACACAAAACCTTTTATTCCGTTCCTTGTAGATACATATATTACAAGAAGATCACTGTAGCAAGTGAGACCTCGACAGCTTCATTACGGGCATCAGGTTGGCACGTGAGGGGCCAGACCGTGTCAGTCTCGATGTCACTGATACCAGAAATGATGCTTGATTTCAGTGTCACCGACTTTTAACCTGTGAGAGGAATTATGATGTGATCATAAATCGCAACACGACCGCGAGGTTTAAAATACATCTTTCTTCCTCCTTGTCTCGGAGGATGATATATAGAGACAGCTTTCATAAACAGTTTGTTAAATTAGCTACATTTGAGAAGAAATATCATTAAGGCTCTTTTTGAGCCTGGTTTCTAATTTACATAAATAAATATTAAAAAGACACTCCAGACCCCTAAAGCACTTTAACTCGCTGAAAAGCTTTATATGTAAAGAGTGTGCCCTCTCTATTTCATTTTGCAAATAGTGCAGATTTCAATAGAAATTGTCCCTTTTGTAAACTGACCTGGTTACACCCCCCTGCCTTTAAAGTGGACAACAGGTCCTGTTACTTCCTAGTTTCATTAGCTCAGTGGAGATACACTCAAGAGGCGGCAATAGCTCAGAGCTCCTGCCTGTTCATTGAGCAGCATTGGAAAGTCTGAGATTGGACAGCCACATAGAGTCTGGGGGGCTTAGAAGGGGAGGGATTGCAAAGGCAGAACTGCAAATTTTGTAAGCCGTTTTTCGATATAACTCAATGAAAAAAATGCGTTATTAAATGCATGCAAGTTTTCATCTGTGGTATCGCTACTAGAAAGTGATTTTATTTATTTTGTAATTGGACAGTGGGGTGTCCATTTAAAGCAGTTCTGTCACCTAAAATGGAAATGTTTACATAAAACATATTTTTTTAAATCAACAACGTGATAATACATGTAACTATAATTAACACTGGAAGATTGTTTGTGTGGGAGTGGCCCTCTTGGAACTTTCTCGCAGTTATCCACCGGTTAGTGACAGTTAAAGGTACAGTTTAAGTACCATAACAACCTATGCCACTGGAGTAGACTAAAAGGCAGATGCCTATGCAGATATCAGGTTCATTCATTCTGTGTTCACTGTGTTCAAGTGATGGCACTTTATTTCATTTAAATGAGAAGGACCATTAGACATGGTAAGGGAGCAGGACACCACTTTATTTATTGACTTGGACTTATGAGATTTTTATGGTCTGTGGGTTTTCATGGGCTTCTCGTGGGCTTGTTCTATGCTGGTGCGGGGCTTGTCCTGATGATATTGTTTGTGGTCTTTGCTTACACCAATGGAATCCAATCAGAATGTCCTCATTTTCATCACAGAGTGCAAGATACAAAGACACCGAGTCCAATAATATAAAGAAAACAAGCCATTTAAGAAGATTTCAGTGCACCAGCAGTACTTCTTTCCATGATAGTGATTTCAAATATTTTGAAAGAATCCATAAACCCCTCTGGGGCGGTATTTCAGGTAAGCTGTTTAGACATTCACCCCTTATTGCTTTACAGTTCTGATTAGAGCAACAGAGAAACTTTGTAACAATGTCTAATGTAGCCGCATTTCGAGATTGAATGTCAGCTGTGCGTTCTCTACTCCTGAATTATTTACAATCATAAGATCATCAATAATCATCTCTCCTTGTGAGTTAATCAAAACTATGGCAACACATCGACAGCTCATTTTGTAAGTAATCACAATGCTATTTCTCTAGAAAGCACAAACTGTCATCACTCTGTCTGGTGGCCAGATAACATAAATCATACATCCTACCCAAGGGCCTCACAATTTGGTTCACAAATGACGTGCTGTCTGTGTGTTTGTGCTCATGAGATATAATGGATCTGTATCAGCCTTTATTTTTGGTGTGCATGATATACAATAATGACATAATATACACTGGTGAGTCAGCAATGAGTTGGCATGTCATGTTACGTTAGGTGTGTATAGAGGTTTGCACATTTTTGTATAGTACAAGAAAGCAGGAATAATGCAACGCAATACGAGTATTGCCACAGAGAAATAAGATAGAGCATAACATTTGCATTGGGATTGTGTCACAGGCTGTATTAATACTATAGCTCAACTCAGTGGGGCTATAGAACTCTCATGTGTGTTGCATGGAAAGAAAGTAGAGAGGTATGGCATTGCTAACACTAGGGATACTTTGCCAAATGTAGTAGGATTATATGAGAGAGTTACCCTAGTCATGGTAAGTTTCTCAGCCTATGCCACTTCTGGAGGTCTGTACTAAAGGAGTGCTAGGTGGTGAGCGCAAGGGAACCTCCACAAAATATTGTCCCAGAGCACTGGTGAGCCCCACAGGGCCCTTGGGCCTGATAAAGTCCAGCTGGTCATCATGCTGGACAGGTTCGGGGCATCCAGCTCTGTACAGGCTTACCACGCGATCCAGCACCAAGCCACTGCTAGCGATTCTCAAGCACTTTAAAAGTTCCAGTAGTGACTCGGGGCAGTTTGCGCTTGTGTGCCACCCACTGTCGGAGGCATGGGAGCTTCCCGCCTCGCCACCATATTGAGGCCTTCGCTCCTGCCGGGGCCATAGATGTCCGCCACGGGGGAGCAATCGGCTGTGGTGGTGAGTGTTCCTGCGGCTGCTCTGGAGCGGTCTGATGCCACCTGTCCTCCAGCTTCTGCCAGAAAATTTCAAAGATCTTGTTGATTCTGGACTGCAGGTCAGTCTGTTCCTTGACGGAATCAGGGTGCCGCGTGGCGTCCACCATGCTTGAGGGGTCTCCTGCTGTCCCTGCGGGTGCATAAGCCTCCTATGGGCGGACCGGGATTACCCCCGCCGCTCCAAAGGGGGGGGGGGTGACGAGGCGCTTGTGCGTCGGTGAGGATCGCTGAGCAGCTCTGGCCTGGGAGATCAGCTGTCTCTCCCGCCCAGCCGCTCTGGGCCGTGTGTTTCAGGGTTTGCTGCAAGTGAGTGTCTGTCGGGTCTCCAACTTCCACAGTGTGCTGTAGCCCCGTCAAAAGGTATGTTAGTCGCTTGGTAGGTTTTAAATTGGATTTGATAAGGCTATAGCTGCTTGTCTTGCCAAACTAGGAAAGTAGCTCAATCGAGACACATCTACCGGGCATGTCAGTCAGGCCCCGCCCCTGGTATCAACCATTTAAACATTCATTGGACAGCTTTTTATAGTGGTTATGGTGCAATGAGGCAATGGACACAGTCCCTGTTCTTGGACAACATAATGAAGTATTTCAATTTCTATTTAAATATGTGTATGATGTGAGCATGGTTTCTAGGAATTTCGGTACAGCTGAAAAAAATCACTGCAGCGCTTCCAGCTCAACCCTTTAAGGACCACGATTCTTATGACATGTCACACGTTAGTGACCAAGGGCTTTCTGGTACTTCGGCCATGCGTTCATTCTACCACAATTTCAACCCTACAGTACAACATCCATATTCTTTAAGGAGAAATATCCTAAATGTATAAACAACACAATATTGACTATGAATAAAATATAAAAAAAATTTAAAAATTACTTTTTTCTCAGTTTTATGTTTAAGAATTTGTACACAACAAGTGCAACTAAACGAAAACTACTTCAAAATAGATTCACCCATTAGTCCTGATTGTTAAAATGCCCAAAATATCTAGGATTTCATTTAAATTTTAGAAGTTATAAAACAAATATTGCAAGGAGTAAATTACGGTTTTAAGGCTAAAACCTAGCAAAATTTGTCATGCTGAGATTAAAACTCTTAGTCATAGAATCTGGTAGTATAGTAGAATATATTTGTAGGAAGTTCATCCTACAGGCTATTTAACTATGAGTGTTTTGACACTTTACATTTAAAGGATCACTATAGGGTCAGGAACAAAAAACATGTATTCCTGACCCTAGAGTGTTAAAACCACCATCTAGCCCCCTGGGCCCCTCATGCCTTCATATATATAGCAAAATCTTACTGTATTCAAGCCTGAAGCTGTAAATCTGCATGCTGTTTGTCTCAGAAAAACAAGCAGTCTGCTGACATCATCAGAAGTGGTGGCCTGATCCAATCACAATGCTTCCCCATAGGATTGGCTGAGACTGACAAAGAGGCAGCTCAGGGCAGAGCCAGCATGATTCAAACACAGCCCTGGCCAATCAGCATCTCCTCATAGAGATTAATTGAATCAATGAATCTCTATGAGGAAAGTTCAGTGTCTGCATGCAGAGGCTGGAGATACTGAATGTTTGGATGCATTTTAGGCAGCCATGACCCAGGAAGGATCTCTAACAGCCATCTGAGGAGTGGTCAGTGAAGTTATCACTAGGCTGTAATGTAAAAACTGCATTTTCTCAGAAAAGACCGTGTTTATAGCAAAAAGCCTGAAGGTAATGATTCTACTCACCAGAACAAATTCAATAAACTGTAGTTGTTCTGGTGACTATAGTGTCCCTTTAAACCTCAAATATGCCGGTTATATGTAATTGTTTGTGTTTTTCAAACGTTTTATTTAGGGGAAATGCACAGACCAGTTTACTGTGACAATTGCGTATTAGTATTCTGCTAAAGTTCCTGAGTACAATGATACCCCACATGTATACATTTGCTCCTAAACCTACTCCTAATTCAACCCATAATCCAACCACTAATCCTACCCCTAATTCAACCCATAATCCAACCACTAATCCTACCCCTAGTTCAACCCATAATCCAACCACTAATCCTACCCCTAATGCAACCCATAATCCAACCACTAATCCTACCCCTAATTACACCCATAATCCAACCATTAATCCTACCCCTAGTTCAACCCATAATCCAACCACTAATCCTACCCCTAATGCAACCCATAATCCAACCACTAATCCTACCCCTAATTACACCCATAATCCAACCATTAATCCTACCCCTAATTCAACCCATAATCCAACCATCAATCCTACCCCTAATGCAACCCATAATCCAACCACTAATCCTACCCCTAATTCAACCCATAATCCAACCATTAATACTACCCCTAATGCAACCCATAATCCAACCATTAATCCTACCCCTAATTTAACCCACAATCCAACCACTAACCCTACCCCTAATTCAACCCATAATACAACCACTAATCCTACCCATAATGCAACCAATAATCCAACCACTAATCCTACCCTTAATTCAACCCATAATCCAACCACTAATCCTACCCCTAATGCAACCCATAATACAACCACTAATCCTACCCCTAATTCAACCCATAATCCAACCATTAATCCTACCCCTAATGCAACCCTGTCAGGGTCCCGCGGGCGGCTGCGAGGGGAGGCTGCAGTCCACTCGCGGCACTCACCCTCCAGCCGTCCGCGGTCCCCCTTCAGCCGTGTGCTCGGCGGGCGGCACCCTCTCTCCCACGAGTGCCGTCCGCCTCTTCCTCTGTGTCTCCCAGCGGCAGCATGCATGACACTGCACGCTGGGAGACCGCCCACTTTAACCAACGCCGGGGTCAGTCACCTGACCCAGCGTTAAAGACACAGTGCCTCAATCACAGTGGGAGGTTTAGATATCTCCCACGTGTGATTGTTAATTCTGATTGGAAATTATCCAATCAGAATTAACCTTTGGATTTATATACTTACCTTTCCTGTTCCTCTTCGCCCTGTTGTGGTCTTTGCTTGTTAGTATTGCTACTTACCTTGTGCTTCTGGTTACGTACTCCCTGGCTTGTTATCCGACTTTGTGACTTTCTCCTACCATTTGACCTCAGCTTGTCTATCGTTATTCTGTCTTCTGGTTTCCCTTACTCGGCTTGTTTCCTGACTATTCTTTGTGTGCTTAGCCCGGCCACTCTAAGGTCCGGTACGGCACTTTGTGTGTGTGTGTGTGTTGGCATGTTTGGTTCCCCGAATCGTGACATTACAACAGGGCCATAATGGAACCTGCTGACATACCACAGCTCCTAGTTAATCAGGAGGCTAGAATGGATGGCTTGGACCACCGTATGGACCAGTTTGCCCAAGCTTTACAAACCATACTGGCTCGTACTGCACACTTGCAACCTGCCATCCAGGAGGCTGCTGCTGCTGTGCCCGAACCAGGGCCGGACTGGGAGAAAAATTCGGCCCGGGCATTTTTTTAACACAGCGGCCCACTAAAAAGGGGGCGGGGCAGAGGAGGTGTGTTTTGTCATCACCAATGACAAACACGCCCTTCTCTCAAAGTGAGCATGTTGGTTCAATGCTCTTCCAGGGCAGACCATGCGCAGAGCTCTGCTGAAGAGCTCTAGCATGAGAAAAAAGTCCTGTATTTGTTCTGCACAGTGCAGGCAAAATTAATAACATGCTTGCACTGTGTTTCCTTGCAACTTGTCTCTGGTGTCTTTATAAATGGATACCAGGAGACAAAAGGCCAGGAAAGAGTATTGTGCATGTGTTTGGAGCCTGCTTGTGGTATTGCGTGTGTGTAGAGTGAGCTGGTCGTTGTGTGGTATTGTGTAATAAGGTCGGTTTTAGTCTGTGAGGCTAGAGTTCACTCTCGCGAGATCCGGTTGTTGCCATGGCAACGTGCCGGATCTCGCGAGAGGAACCCGGCGGAGCTGCAAGTTAGAGCTCCGCCGGGTCCTCTCTCCAGCCTGGCTGGCTCCATCCCCTCTCTCCCCGCCGGCGGCTGCATGTGGGCCGGTCAGGGAGATCCTTGATCTCCCCACCGGCCCGTCGTGGCAAACAGCGGGGCCGGCGCTAGGAGAGTGCCGGCCCTGCATAGACCGGCAGGGGAGATCCTGGGACCTCCCCTGCCGGCCTCGGCCACCGCGGCCCACCGGGCATTTGCCCGCTGTGCCCGATGGCCAGTCCGGGCCTGGCCCGAACCCATTCCCACTCCGGTACCCGTTCCTGCTCATGTTGTTCACATGACACCGCCACAACGCTACAGCGGTGACCCAGCATTGTGTCGTGGTTTCCTTAACCAAATTGACATCCATTTGGTGATGAATCCACGTTCCTATCCCACTGACAGATCCAAAATTGCCTTTTTGATTAACCACCTGTCAGGGAAAGCTTTAGCATGGGCTAACCCCATGTGGGAGAATACATCTCCTATGTCCTTTGTGGATTTCTTGACAGCTTTCAAACGTACGTTTGATCAACCCGGTAGGGTTGCCTCTGCTGGCAAAGCTCTGCTTAGGGTACGACAGGGTAATAGATCTGTAGCGGATTATACTATCGAATTCCGCACGCTAGCAGCTGAAGTGGTTTGGAATAATGATGCCCTCGTAACAGCCTTTCAGGAGGGTTTGACCGCCTACATACTGGATGAAATAGCATCCAGGGAATTGCCTGTTCTTCTAGATGATGTCATAGATTATGTCATTCTTATTGATAACCGTATTAGAGAGAGGCGTAGTCAAAGACGGATGGATACACGGGCATTACCTGCTCCCCCCTCTACTGCTTTACTAGCACTACCCGCTCCTAGTCAACCAACCGCCGAACCCATGCAATTGGGTGCTACGGGGCTAACTGAGGCTGAAAGAGCATATCGTAGAAGGGAGGGGTTATGCCTTTATTGTGGAAAGAGGGGGCACCACTGTAATGCCTGCCCTAAGTTACAGGGAAACTACAGCACCTAAGGCCTAGAGAGGGGTCGGCCTCGGGTGTTATGACTTTGTCCCCTCATGTGTCCATCTCCAGACCGCTTATTACGGTTTCTCTTTTGGTCAATAAAACCACCATAACCACCAAAGCCTTGATCGATTCAGGTGCGGCAGACAACCTTATGGATGAGAACTTCGCTAAAACCGCAGCCTTAACTTTGATCCAAAAGGCCACACC